GAGAGAGAGAGAGAGAGAGAGAGAGAGAAAGGGAGCGAAATGGAATAAGAGAGACTGGGAAAGAGAACAGAGAGACCAGGCAGCGAGTGCGCCCACCGAGCCGCCTCCATACCACCTCCAGCATTCCCAGCCTGCACACACAGTTGCAGCTGCACCGCGGCCGTGGCTCGCTCGTGTGCACATGCGAGACTGCGCGCGCGTCTCTCGCATAATCTCGCGATTCTTTCTCGCGTGTGTATGTGTGTCTGCGTATATATACATATATAATATATAACTATACTGCGTGACGTGCAACAACGTTGTCGCTGTGCAGTTTTAACGACGCCGTTTCCTTCGCTCCTTCGCTTATCCTCCTGCTGGACGAGATTGCGCACCTATCGACCATCATCCCTGATGTTAAGCTTCAGCTGGACTTTCGAAGATTCTCAACGTAGACAACAACGAACTCACACGTGGTGAATCGTGATTAGAAACAACGAGCGCAGCGACACTTTCGTCGATGTAAATTCGTAATTAGGAGACTCGCAAATCGATTGTCCTTCCTGTAACATTCAGCTCCGGTAATATCGTGCTGAAGTTCACGAGCTGACATTGACAGGTATCGACGAACTCGCTGTCGATGTTGAATTTTCAGGAGAAAGGACTCTAGGAGGTCGGTCAAGATTCCTCTTCAATTCAGGTTCACATAATGCTCGAATCGTCGAGCTCGCAATCGTTGAGATAGCTGAGACGAGTTTAGGATAGCATAAAGACGTGAATGTAAACCGAAGTACCGGCGATCGGCGTGTATCGGTTATTTTTCTGCATTTCCCCGGCGAGCCACACTGTGCGGAGCACGTGCGAACCGCGAGGCCGAGAGAAGTGCACTATCGATCGCGTCTCTCTCTCGGCTGTAATCTCGAGAAGCGTGTCCTTCTCGTTAGCACGATATTCAGCCGGACGGCAGGAGGAATCCTGACATTTCGCAAATGTCAACCGCAGCCATTGGCGTAACTTCCGCGTAATCGGAGCGTGATGAACGATAAGAGATCAACTCGTGCTTTTCGTGCTGAAACCATACTCCGTTCCCTCTCTTCTGCGACGAATCGAAAGTGACAAACGCGTTGAAAGCGATGCTTCGAGACACGTGATTCTAAGGACCGATCAAAAGCTAGATAGACTCGACGTCTTCGGTTCCAGGGATTCCAAGAAAGCAAGGAAATCTCGTCATGGATTGGATGAGGAGACAGGACGTCAAGGAGGAGCCGCAGGAAGCTCCTAACACCTTGACACCGGAAGACGACGATGAGTATTGCTTCGAGGAAGACACATCGATAGACGAGGGAATGGTACGTGAGATTTCGCGCTATGGTTATTCTATATTCGCGACTGATTGGAGAATTAATTCGATCGTGTCTTGCGAAAAGTATTACTGTTTTAATTTTAAGATAAATCATCACGAAACGCGGACACTTTGTATGCATAGAGGCAATGACGTCAATACGTATTTATCGGGCTGTTTATATAATGAGACCTGATATATGTTTTAATTATATCACATAACATATGCGCACTTATTGAAACGTAAATGTATCACATGATTAAAGCAGCAATCAAGACATGGTAAAATTAGTATTTATAGCATTTACACAATGCAAATTGGTTAAAGATGCATCGCCGAATATCGTCACTTCTCCTTGTCTGGCGTTGCATCGGTCAAGGTGGAAATTTGCATATCCCGGTTTGGAGGGTATACGAAGTCTCCTTCATTCGACATGCACTCTCCTTTAATAACGGTTGTACACGAGTGAGCATCGTGATCTTCGTCGTATCTCCCAACGCGTTCATGAATGTTAATAATAACGCCGTTATCGCTCGTCATGGTCGTGTATAATAATAATCGTTGGTGATGGTCGGTTTAATGCGAATATCGATAGTCCGTGAGTCTGTGGTGATTTCACAATCGTATCCGCGTCTTTTCGATTACGCCCACAATTATTGCGTTCGTGGTTTTTTGCGAGTTTTCCCGCGAGATTGCCAAACTCCCTCCTTTCCCCGCTAACTATTACAGCATCTGTCAGAGTCGCGCTCTCGAATTGCATCGTGCCCTGTTCGAGAGAGCATCGAATTTTCTCCAGGTAATTGCTGGGGCGGATGCTGACCGTTAGGGCGTTCAGTTACGTGTCGCTGCTATCCTTTTTTTTTCGTTGGACAAGGGTTGCCCTGTCATTCGTTTTGAATGAGTTCGAATCTGCATGGGGTCTAAGGATTGTGTTACGCAACAACTTTTCAGCACTTGGTATTACTTTTTATGTTTTATTTTAACATCATAATATAATTTTAATATTGTATAAATATATATATATATATATTGTACACGGAGAGAATTTTTTCTTAGAACAACATTGTATTATATTTCGAAGAATTTTAATGTAAATCTCTCTCATTCATTAATAAAACTACAATAACGTATAAAATAAGTTTGATTAATTTTACTGAAGTGCATGGTAAAAATTTTTTTAATATTGTATTGTACCACAAATACCATATTTTCAGGGTAAATTTTAAAAGAAAATTCTCTCCGTGTACTAGCAGCGAAAATCTTTACCTATTTGAAAACGCTACATGTTCATAAATCAAATTTGTTTGGAAATATCAAACTCCACAATCTCAAACTGTAAGGGAAATAATTCGACATTCTTTTTAGCAATTAACTTTTGACTTACACTGCGCTGATAAATAAAATATATTTTTCTATAATAATATAAACAGATGGGGCTTCTGCTTCACATATGGATACTTCGTCTAACATGTCATTGACGAATATAATGTTGTGTGAATTAGGCTTAACCGACTACCGAGAAAATGGGCTCGAGTATAAAATTACGTCGAATCTACTGTTACATCCATTGTTGCCTCCGAAATGACCGTTTGAATAACCACTAGCGGAGTTACTCTGCTCGCTCGGGGCGAAATTGCATGCGAACCAATGTGCGTGCGCTACGCACAAACATTTAACAGGGATAAAAAGCCGCCCGAGGCGATAAAGCATAAAATTATGCGATAATCATAAAAAATCGAGGGTTGTTGAGGTCACGTATCATCCTTTCTTTATATTAACGTCACGATATTTATAATTGCTTGGAAATGATACTGATTTATCCATAAGATACTGCATAACTTGAGCTTTTAACTGAAATACGACTTGATTAATATTAACGATTTAAGTCTGTGAACATTTTTTATTTGCAATTTTAATTTGTTGATAGATTTGACTTTAAAAAAATTAAAAAAAAGTCACGACAGATGAACTTCTCTTTAAACTTTCTTTCAAAGAAAATCGAACTCGTCCTTTTTAAAGAATCCACAATTGAAAGGGGTCGCGATAATGGCACTCGGTCTAGGACAATTCTTCGGACCCTGGCAACATGCCGACTCGGCCGGAAATTAAGAGAAGAAGGAGAAGTTACCGGTTGATATGTCTACCGATTTATCGGGATTGCGCAAATGACGTTCATGGAAGTCGCGCGAATTCCGCATTTTCTGGTGACGATCAGTGACCGCCTGTTCTCTTTCTTTCTACCTTTCTTCTACCATCTTGATAAGAGCAGGTGATAAGTTACACGAAGCCACTTCGGAAACCTTGGCAACGCCAAGGTACTTTCGAGGGGCCACGATGATTCAGCGCCAGCTGCGCCCCGAAGGAGAAAGAGGTGGAGAAGGAGGAGGATCAGTTATAGCAACAACGCTCGAAATTTGTTAGTCAAAACCGAAACATCGATCCCTCGTCACGGTAGGATTAAACAGGTATACGTCTCCTGACTAGAATACTCGACGAGGTTTTCCACCTTGTCTTCCGCTACGTGCGCGCCGGTATCTCGTCAATTCACTTCCTGTTATCTTATTGAGCGATCGTATCAGCCGGAAGTGAGTCGCGGGAAGGCGCAGGAGACAGGCGGTAGCGTAGGCAGCGACAGATAAGCACGGTAGACTAAATAGTTATGAGTATTTGCTGTCAAAAGTCGGGATAATGGGCAGAACGATATCAGCGTTTTAATGCTTTGCATGCGATATGCATCGCAAATTGCTTCCGCAAAAGCTTATTAAGAAAGTTAAATTTATCAGGCGCGTGCATCGCGTAAAATTCGATGACAGTGTGTTAAGAAATGTTTATTAAGTATAATGTAAGGATTACAGATACTAGTATTCCGTATGATGATGAAACTAATTTCTTATTAATAAAATAATACAAATATCTTCCCGAAAAGCGAATATTAAAAAAACGATTTAATTCATCAAATTTTTGGAGACAAGAAACCAATCCGAAAGTTTAAACATACTCAAAGTATCAAAAACTTGCATATCTGAGTTTCCTCCTGCTAATCTAAGTTTATTTCAACATTGAACAAATTTCACAAAATTTGTGAAGTTTATCCCTTAGAAATTTATATTAACTATAATGAAAATTTGCGTATTCCGTTGTACAGAACGGAACTCACGTTTGATCCGGTTGCCAAATAGCAGTGCGTTCCGAAATAATGGGGTTGTCCGGAAATTGAAATATAATTTCAATCGAAAGATGGAGAGAAAGAGAGAGAGGAAGAGAACGAAATCAAGATAGAATCGATAGAGAGTCGGAAAGAGGGATAGAGAAAGAGAGAAGAGAATAGAGCGAAGGGGTGTCTGTTGCTCGGAGCTCGTCCGCAGGCAGAAAACGGGGGGATGATAGGCGACCAGTCACCATTCCACCCCACCGGCCGCGGCTACGTCGGGGATGAAGTATGACTCATCCGAGTGCCACCACCCCTGTTTTTCGGCCGTCTCTCGCATCGGGAAATTCGCCACCCGTGACTCCCCTCTGGTCGCCGAATCTGTTCATCGACCCTACCGTGTTGCCAGCGAGTAAACGAGCATTATCATAATCCGTAGTGACGGCGGGAAGAAAGATGCACCATCAGGCGCGTGCAGTTCAGGTGTCCAACCGAAGTTATTGTTCGTGACTTTTCGTGCTAGTTACAATTCCGCAGTCGAATGGCCCTTGCCTTTCGAGGGCAACGAGTCGTCACGGTTGATCAGTGCCACCGTAGTCGAATTTTACGTAAAAAAGAATATATTGTGCGTTTTCGGAGAAATATAAATGGCAAATCGCACCTTGCGACGTGCCTGCGATTGGGGAATAATGGTGAGTTGACTGTAAAGTGGTCCTTATTTTGTATTTTGTATTTTTTATTGTATTTTTATATTTTTTGTTATATTTTTTATATTTTTTTCTAATTCTATTTTGTTATTTATTTTATATGTAATATAAAAATATTACTTATTAGGTACTATATAATTCTTTTAATTGGGAGTTTTTAAATTATTATTACGAAGGATTAATATAAATCCTGTAGTTTCCAAATGATAGTTCCATTTTTGCGAAATAGCTTACGAAATAAATGTTAGCTTTTTTTAAGAGAGAAGAGATTTATAAAAAAATTCTGCTATATAAAAATAAAATTAATTTATGTGAAAACGTGAATATGAATATTATTTTTCCAATAAAGATTGAAGATAATCCGAAAGTAAGAATCGAAATTATATTATTTTTGCATTGTCAAGTTTTGTATTGTCTGGGAATTAAAAGACTCGTACTTCTCTACGAGTAGAGAATATTTATATATATGGATTCTTCGTTAGCACGATAAATGGAATAGACAGCGACGCAGCGTGGCATCAAAATAAAAAGAACAGAATCTAATCTACACGTGGCGCAGACAAGAAAGAGATCTAATCCACATATGGTGGCACGGGTGTCATCACGGTTACTTGGCGAACGAATTAATCCTATTATTTTTATTCTTTTTACCTCATCCTTTAGCCTCGTAAGAGGATGTGTATTTTACATATGTGATGCGTCCCGGAGTTGGACAGCCAGCTCCTTCCTAATGAGATACAAAAGCATAAAGATCTTACTTTTCTTCGTTCGAACGAGCGTTATCAATTTTAATTTTTAATTTAGAATTATAATCTTAGTTCGGAATTGTGTAATCAATTTAAAATTCTACTCGAAGTTTTTTATTTAAAATTTAATTTGCGATTTGGAAACGCCAAGAAATTCTGAAGTGACAAAAATGACAGCGTTTGATCGAATTTTTATCAAGAAGAATTTGCTCTTTCATCTGAAGTACCTACGATTCTGAATTTCGCGTCACGAAATATCTTTTATTCAATACTATGTCTAGAAAATCTCGCATCTGCCTCGTACGATTTGACGTACGGCTTTCGATGTCAGAACGAGATTACGTGGCTCGATCCCTTCGAAGGCGGATTTATGTCTTCGTGTCGGCGTAGATGAGGGAATGCACTT